AAGGCACTTGTGCATATACTTTACGAGTACAATATGGAGTTCCCCCTTCTTTTTTTTTTTTTTTATTTTTTTGTCGCAAAAAAATTGTCCTTACCAAATAAAAAAATATATCCAACTTCCTCTCATTTAATTCGTTATTATTAAAAAAATATCAAAATTAAATAAAACGAAAAACAAAAAAATTCTAAATGGGTATAAAAATATTCTACGTAGTAGAGAAATTTTTTAATATATCTTAAATTTTAATAATCTCTGTAGGAGAAAAATTAATTATAATAATTAAGATAATAATTATTAGAAAATAATTTGTATTTATTTCAAATAAAAATTCCAATCGGAATAAATTATTAAAGACATATATATATATAATTCTGAGAATGCAGTGACAATTCCAAAACTACGATGTTAAGGACGTTAAGTACATGGCCATAGGGAGTATTGCCGTAGGCGCAATAGCGGCCCTCTTGTGTTCATTGTTCACGGTATTTCTCCCTCGTAGCTTCTCCGTATTCGTGTCTTTACCCTTTTCTTCACCCTTATATAACTTGAACCGAGCAAATTCTCATCCCACTATTTCCCCTCCTCTCTCTCTCTCTCTCTCTCTCACTCACTAACCCCGTCTGATTTCATCTTCTCCTCACAAGCAGCCCACTGACTTCAGGAGGATCTCATTTTCATTAAGAATTAAAGTTGAAGTCCGGGGTGAAAAAGTTTTCATTCGCCTTTTCCATGCAAATAAGATCCTCGACTTACAACCCAAAAAGTTGAACTCTCTTCGCGCTAATTTATCTCACAATGTCTTAGATTCCTTGTGACTTAATTTTAATATCATTGCAATTTTGAAACATTTGATTTTTTTTCAATTATTTCACATTTAAATCCCTAATTTTTGATTTGTTAAAAAAAAAAAAATAATAACTATACCCGAGTAGAAATCCCCAAGGTATGCCTAAAATGATAATTGGCCCTAAGCTGATCCTAACTTGACAGAAAATGTTAATATTTCCTAATTTGGTCCTAACTTGGTCCTGCTTTTACAAGCCATTTTAGTAATATCGGAGTATTTTGGCATTATTAATTATAATTAATAATAATATTATAATAATAATATAATTATAATAATAAAATAATAATAAAATAATAAAAAAAAATATAAATACAATAATAAAAATAATAAAAAAATAAAAACATACCATAGTTTTTTAAAAATTTTAATTAATTATTAATTAAATTTATATTAAACAAAATGAGAAGGGTTACATTTAATTTGAATTTTTTTGCCCCTACTTTTTCAACCCTAGCAGACGAAACGGACGAAACTATAAGCAGAAGTTATTTAGAGGTTAAGTTCTTGTGTAAAAAGTGCAATGTAATTCTGCTTGTTTATTGATTTATTATTATTTATTATTATTGATTACATTTTTTTATTTTTATTATATACACCCAGAAAAAAGGGATTGTTTATTTGAAAAAGTCAGTTGCTTTGATTTGTTTTGTATCATTCGAAACAAATTTCCTTTTAAACAATAAGTTTTTCTAAAATTTACATAAAGTTTCTTTGATTGAAATAAGTTGAAAAATTTAAAAGAATAAAAATTTCAATCAAAGAAGTTTCAATACTAATATAAAATCAAAAAAAAATTTCTTTGATTAAAAAAATTAAAATTTTTCTGAAACAAAGATAATTTTTTTCAAAGAAACTTTCTATAATTAAAAAAAAAAAAGATTTTATATCGAAGAGAACTACAGTGGAAGAAACTGATTTATTTAAATCATAGGGTGCAAGCTAAACCTTTGTAAAAGTCCAGTTATATTTAAATGTTTATTTTTTTTAAAAATCTACGAATATTTGATTGTTAATACATTATTTATGTACATACATGGTAATATATATTATATATGCGTAAAGAAACAAAGATTTTATAAGTAAGTTTTTGTATATATGTATGTACTAAAAGTAAGCAAATATATTAATTTCAATATAAAATACAAAATTATGTTATCAAAATTTATTAACAAATAATTAATCCTATTAAAATTATGTGAATTTTAAAAAAGCTGGTCTTATCTAGGACCAAAAAAAGGACCCTTATATTGGTCCTAAATAGGCACCCAAATTAGGACCAGGCTAAAATCGCATCACCAACCATTTTAGGACCAAGTTAGACTGCCAAGATAGGACCTAGATAATAAAACGGCAAACTAGATAGGACCAAGTTAGGACCATTTTTCAATTTCCACACGGGTATATAATAAGAATTGTATTTTATATTAATAGAACAATAGAAAAAAAATAAGAATCATAAATATTCAAAAAAGAAAATTGTATAAAAAAAGTTTTTATTAAATCGAATCCTCTCAAAGATATATGTATCAATTTTGTCACTGATTAATTATAACATATGTATAAATTATATAAGAGCGTGAAGCGAGAAAATAAATTAACGTTTATTATTTTTCTTTTAGCCCGCAATTTTTTTTAAACAATCGATCAAAATCAGAGCCACTGGCTATTCATGTTTATATGTTGAAAAATAATCGAAGCCTTTTGCCTTTTGTGTCGTGCTTACAGTATTACTTGAGATAATTAAGCCACAACTCTAATGAATCGCCATTCTCACTACTAATTTGCGTGATAATCTGGGTAAATAATAATTCGCGATATTTCTCTCTCGGGAGATCCTTCTGGTATCCACTTCGTCGACCAGGTATATTGCATTCCATATATTAACGATGTGGATGGAATTGAAAGGGATTTTATGTTTAATTGCCAAAGCCTTGACCTTGAAAATTTTCATATACCATTAATACTATTAAATTGTTTGTTTACTTTCTCATTTTAAAAAATTATCAAAAATATTTTTCAATAATTTTTAATAACATTTTTCAATAAAGTTTTTAATTTCAATGCAAGAGAATTTCATTTTTTTCTTTTTTTTCAATGATTTTTAATATAATTAACAAACACATTAGAGAAATGAATGATGGTAGATGATTAAAAATATGGACAAATAAATATATATAAATATACATATTTTTTTTTTGTGTAATAGTTTACTAAAGCCGCGGAGCGTTTTGTTAATTAAAAGCATTGTCATCGATTTTGAAATATAAAGCGTCGAGTGACCTCACCCACAGCAGATTCGCGGCAAATGTTACCCCGTCACGAATCGTTTTCCCACACATTGCATAAATTAATAATTGCAAGTGTCGCTGCCATTACTGAAATTAATACAGCTATAGAAATTATGCTCATTGTTTTCCTACCAATTTATCCCAAAACCCGTTGTGAATCTCGATCATAAGAATGTCCAATTAAAAAAACAAAAAAAAAAATAAAAAAATAAGCAATTTATGAAATGTTTAAGGAAACAATCGTTTTATGAAAATTTAAATTAATTATTATTTAGAATAATTTAACATACACTCATTGTTAGAAAAAAAATTCGTTTGAAGCAACCAAATTTTGGTTAAATCAACAAAATATTAATATACAGGTTAACCAAACATTTGGTTGCATAAACCAAACGTTTATTTAGCTCAATGAAATTTTTTCTTTGTTCAAAAAATTTATTAAAATAAACCAAACAGTTATTTTGATCAAATAAATATTTATTTAAATTAAACAAATTTTGTTTGAACTAACCAAAAAATTGGGTAAATATAAAAAAATGGTACATTTGGTTCAAACATATCTTTTTTCTGAGTGTAGAAAAATAAATAAAAAGAAAATTCAATAACATTTATCTTTATCGCAACCGAAAAAAAATCCTCTTGTTTCAAAAGGATTCCTCTTATTTCAATGCATATTTTCCTCTAGTATATGCTGCAAAAGGATGTCCTCTAGGTTTAAGAGGATTGTCCTCTATGTAAAATTATTCCTCTTAATTTAAGAGGATACTCTTATTTTAAGAGGAAAATATCATCTTAAAAAGAATTCTGAAATATTAACAATGCAATCATCTACTTTGTATGTCATAGATATAATCTATAAAATTAAAAGGAATAAAATTTGTTATTCCATGATTTACATCTATTTGAGTATAAATAAATTGAAATTGATTTTAATTTTTTTTTGAATAAATCAACTAAATCTATTTTTAATAATATTTTTATGCGCAAAATATATAATTCATTAAATTTGAAAATTTATTTTAAATAAATTTTTAAATAAAATTAAAATAAATAAAAATCGTAATAAAATAAATTTTTAAATAGCATAACCTCAAATTTATTTAAATTTCCTTAAAAATTTCTTTTACCTTCAAAAATAGGCACGTATTGTGTAAGTTGCAACTCTATCAAGATATTTAAAAGATTATTATCCATTTTGATTTATTCCCCTTTTTTTTACACAGAAACTAAAACTTTTTCACGCATGATATGCGATTTATGACGCGACGTAAATGATATGATGCAATCATCTTTGCACATGAGCGACTTTTTATGGGAAATCCTCTTAGAATTTAGAGGAATATTCTTAAACATAGAAGATTATTCTAAATTCTAAGAGTATTATTTTAATTCCAAAAAGATTATTCTGAATATAAGAGGAATGCTCTAGAATAGAACTTTTGTTTCGTTCCTCTTGAAATTAGAGGAAAATATTCTCATTTAAAGAGTAATACTCTTGTTTTAAGAATAAAATTCAAGAGGATTCTGTGAGAGGAATTTTCCTCTGAATACAAGAATATTTTTTTTTCGGTGCAGGCCATTCACCATTTATCACTTATAGTACTTAATACGTGAGATGGCTATGTGGCTTCCCTACTGGATTTGCAACAACAAGGACTGGGGTTCGATTCTTCACGACCGAAAATTTTCTCTTTCAGAATTTGATTATTTTTAATTTCGCAGCTATTGTGTTCTCCAAATGTTCGATTTTTAATTAATTTTCGGATAATTAATAACAATTATAATAATAATAATAATAATAATAATACTAATAATAAAATAAATAATAAAATTAGAAAAGAAAGAAAATGACTTACCGAAAAAAATTGATGAATTGGTGTTCAATTTCGAATGTAAAAGATGTTTGCGACTGGTTGCGTTAATAAAATAACAATCTCTCGTGAGGAATATCGCGAGAGATGAGATAAATATGAGTATTTGAGTGTCGAGATAATGCAAACAAACGCTCTGTGAGTTATATATCCAGTTGGAGAGAGAGCTGCACATTCATCCGCAATTGCGATATGGCCCGTGTTAAATTTGACTTGAATCACCACCGATAATGTCAGACGACCCAGGGCTTATTATTAGTTCGTGATTCGCATTCGTTTGATAATCTATTGCATCCTGGTGAATTTGCGTGACTAGTGAGGTCTTATCCACAAGCTAATGAATATCTCGCAACATATTTATTGCATATTGATCATTATTCTTATTTCACAAATATCATTTCTGAAAATAAATATAAAATAGAAAATTGTTTATTAGAAATATATTAATAAATTGATAATTAATGTTAAAAATTTTTATTTTTGAATTATTATAATATAATTATTTTATCTTCAATTTACATTTTATCGCAATATTAAAATATATAATATCGGATTCTACTTTTTGATTTTAATTGTTTATAATTGATATGTTAATTAAATTGGTATTTTAATTACATTTTAAATCTCTGTGTTATAAAACGATTTCGCTGATTTCGTCTCTTGGAAATATCGAACATAACCTATCGCCTTGCCTTACTACTGCCCTTAATAGGCCTAACATAGCCTTAAAATTTATATAAATACGTTTTTCTTTCGAGTCGTTCTTAGTTAGCGATACTAGCGCTCTTACGGGGAAATTGTTGCAACTCAGGTGAGAGATGAATGGCGGACATCTGCGCATGCGTTTTGTGTTTAGCAGACGAAAAATATGAAAATTCTTGCAACATTTTCAAGTTAGAGATACTCCAATTAAGAAAAACAGAAAAGAAAAATCGTCATCACTTTCTACGGCACTAAAAACTTTTTTTGAAGGTCACATCAAGGTCTTTGAACATAACCTCAAAACTTTGGTAATATTAAGTAGTAAGTTAAGTTAGAATTATTTAAAAATGATTTTTGTCCTCTAGAGCGAAAACTGACACGTCTTGTTTCGGATGCAATTCTACAGTGTTATATAATTAAATATGAATGTTGAAAGAAGGAGAGAGAGAGAGAGGGAGATATGAAATGAGCCTTTTGTATATTAGTCGGGTAAATTCTTGCGACTCACAATGTCAAGTGATTACTACCACTTATATACATATTAGGGGTGATACGCTGGTCAGTCGACCATTATGAGTAGCATCTGAATCTCGGCCTCTTGAATAGCTCCATTTACCATTAAGCACATTACTATTATCCTATCACGCTCTTGGTCGTCCAAAGAGACTTCTTTGGTTCACCCATGATGCACGAAGCCATTTGCGCAAAGTGGTCGTTCATTACTAAATTATGTCGGTTTTATAGCAATCCGTTAATCCGCCAGTACACACGGCTCGTTGTCGACCTTCGAAGCAGAACCGCCTTTCTGTCATAATTAATTTACAGATTGTACTACAAATCCTGGCCTATACATATACGCGAGCATCGCTTAATAACTAAAAAGAACTGAAAAATTTAATCCTTAAATACGAGATTTCCATAAATAAAACTAGTTTTTCGTGAATTTTTCAAAAGCCATTTTTTTTTTGTTACTACTCTTTTAATCATCGCTTTCAATATTTATTAATATACACCATTTTTTTTTAAAAAAGGGAAATGAAATTTTTTTTTAAAAATGTTTAAAAAGAATTTCCCCACTCTATAATTTGTTTATGAAAAAAATTTTTTATTTTTAATCACATACGTGCGTAAATGAGGATATTATTTTTAAATTCTCAGAAATTCTTAAAGGAGCGAAAAAATTGTACATTTTCCGGTCAGTTTCTTCAAATACCGCAACGAGGGGGCTTTTAAAGAAGCACGGAAGCCGAACGAAATATGCATTTTAGTTATGCGAGTCGACGTCGAATGAGAAATAGAGTCATTATGCAAATTACTAAGCGTGTAATGCTAAGAACATTTGTGCCTTACAAACACACGTGAATTGACAGGGAGAAAAATATATATATTCTAAATGCCTTTTATCAGTATTTTACATAAATAAATATTATACATTTAAAAAACAAAATTATAATAACCCGCATGTTGTTAAATTATTTTTCATTTATTTATTATTTTTAAAAACAAGCCTTCTCGTAAATAAAATTTTTAATAATAATATTATCGCAAATTATATGACGATATTAAAAATATATCGTAAGAAATTGTATAAAAATATACTAGAAATAATTTTTTACATATTATGCAACGTAATGGAAAATTTTTATTTTTAGTTCTCAATATAATCTGAGTTATATACTTTATTTAATAACTCATTTTTAAATTTCATTTAATATTTTATGAAATTTTTTTTTTTTAATGCTTTTCGCGGTTATTTCCATTTTTCCATCAGCTATTATTAGTAAACATATAGAGAGTAGTTCGATGGCTTTTAATAATATTTTCGATTATTTTTCCCTTCCTCCACCACCTGCAACTCCCTCGATACTTCTCTCGAAGGCTTCACTGTTCCCAGGTGATTCTACGGTTTTTTTTTTTATTTTTTCCTTTTTTTTTAGTTCAAACTCCAAACTAATCCCCAAGTATTGCGCTCTTTTTGAAAGCGATTTGCGAAATATAAATAAACGCCGAGATGACTTTTGGATTAGCAATATATATATATATATTTTGATATTCGTCGTGAAAAATAACTGATTTTCTTTATAAGCGGCTTATAGATTTATTTTTAGTTCATATAATTATTGTAAATATTAAAATTATCAGAATGTTTAATAATTATTTTACGAAGGACGCGATTTTTTTTCTATTAATGAAATATTGAAAGAGAAAAATGAAATGCACGTTGTATATGTGGTAGTTTAAAAAAAAGTGCACTGAAGGGAACTTTGTGTGGTTTCTATTAAGGTCACAAATTTGCATTTGAATTTTTTTTTTTTTTTTATTTTTTTTTTTGTAAAATAACAGAACTCTTCTGTGTATTTCATTATAGTCTGAATTGCGAAAAACAAAATTTGCACTGTTGAATGATTCTTTGACCAACAAAAGCACGTCGGCTTGCTTCGACGAATGGAAACAAATAACAAAAAAGAAAGCATTCAACTACCTTTCGCAAGCATTGGCCAGCCGTCGATCGTTTCATATATATATATATATATATATATATATGTATATATCTACATCACTATACGGGGAAAAAATAATTCAATAATCTTGGCGAATTTTTATTCCACTGCCGAATTTAATTAAACGGCAAAATAGATTTTATTATTTGCAATCGCGTTTGCGAACAGTGCGAAGCATCGACAGGCTTGCTTTAATTTCGCGTAGCTTCGAAACAGGGCCCGAGGTTCTATGAAACGAGATTTCGATGTAGGTAATGTTGAAGTGCGGGCAGAAGGGAGAGGGTGGTGTGTTCAACTATTTTTGAAATCTTTCCTGCAGAGGTTGAGGTACTAAACGAATTTTTTTTCACTTCGATCGACAGTTAATTTACCACGAAAGACATTTTTATACGCGAATATGTAAAATACATTTTTGATATTTTATCAAAATAATTCTATTTAGTTCCTTTTTTTGTAAATAAGAAAAAGCGAGTTCAAACATTTTAAATGTTTTTTTTAAACAAATAACGACCATTAAAATAATTTTAATTTTTTTATTTGTCCAAGAACTCGTTTAGATACAATTTTCTAATTGAATTAAAGTTCACTGCGCTTGAATTTCTGTCGTTCACTAGTTGTTTTAGTGAACCTAAAAAAAAAAAAAGTTCAAACGGCATTGCCGAATGAATAGAATAATTTGAGTGATAGAAGGATAGTTGCCAAAACGAATTTGACTCATTCTGTTATCTTCCCATCGATGGAACCTTTCAAGCATTTGCCATATAGTTCCATGAATGAAGTCAGTTTCTACGATTGAAAAGAATTCAATAGATGAGACTAAAATAATTAAAATTCAATTGATTTTTATTCAGGATGAGTAAAAGAACAAAAAAAAAAAAAAAAAGAAAAATTACATCCGAGAGAGATGCTTACTTTAAATTTAATTTCAAATAATAATTGTTAGAAATTAAAAAAGAATTCACAGTATTAGCTTTACTGTAAAAAATAAATAACTTATGTAAATATGTTGTTCCGGTTAAAATGATCATATTGTTATGGTTTGAAGTAAATTTTTTTTTTTTTTTTTGGTGCATTGAGATAGGACCTCGAGTGCATTTAAAAAAGAGAGTGGGTATACGTGATGAAAACAAAACTGGCGCAGGAAATAAACAGAGAGATACTGCAGAAGGGAAGAGAGAAAGAGAGAGAGAGAGAGAGAGAGAGAGAGAGAGAGAGGGAAGGGGGTAAAAAAAGAAAAGAAATGAGAAGGGAGAGTGGAAAAAGAGAATTCACGTTGCATCGAAATACGTTGTCGGCAGGACTTTGTTCCTCGGAGGTAGCGGCACTTTTTATTTCCGAAATAAAATGTGTCCGTTAAAAATAATATTTAACGTCCACGTAATTCGGCCAAGCCTCGGGTGAGCGCAATGTTTTCGTTTGGTTCGCAGGAGTCTCGCACCTATATGGAAAACGAGTGAAACAAAGAGGAAAAGCATTTCGTCAAAGGACCGAAGAGTTTTTGTAATGTAAAATGAGTGTTGCGTGTGCCTAAAACCATTTCTCAACCAAAAAACACCGTTTAAAATTTCCGTACTTTTAATAGTTTTTTTTTTAAATTATTGACATGTGTTTTTTTAAGGGGAAATAGAAAATAGTTTCAAACTATTTAAAAACAATTTTCTTTATCACAAAAAAAGGACCTAAGAAGCAAATTAATTATATATAGGTTATGTTTTATCTTAAGTTTTTTTTATCTTATCTTTTTTCTTTATATAAAATTGAAATAAGTTGATGATTTTTTTTCTATTCGAGTTGTTCTTAGCGATACTAGCGCTCTTGCGGGGAAACTGTTGCAACTCAGGTGAGAGATGAATGGCGGACATGTAAATCTGCGCATGCGTTTTGTGTTTAACAGACAAAAAAGGTGGAAATTCTTGCATTTTCACGTTAGAAGCCCGAGGCGAAATTTAAGCCCTAATTTACAAGGAGTAAAGTAGAGTTAAACAGACCCTCTTTAGCTTCCTCAACTAGTTGCAAATTTCCCTTTCTTCCACGTTTGGATTTAAAGTAGGGTCTAAAAATTGATTAAAATATTGAAAATTTTGAAATTGCTCTAATTCTATTAATTTTTTGAAAACGCTTCAAAATATGTTAATTCCAGTTTTTAAAGGGTAATTAAAGAAATATTGTGTGAAGAAAAAATTCATTTTGCTTTAAT